ATTGGTCTTGCAAAATTCTATCATGCGATCTCCAGCATCATTTCTATCACCAAGGTCATATTTTCCAACTACTTGTCCTTTTGTTTCCAATTTTCCCATTTGAAAGCATCATGATTGCAAAGTTTGATCGAGTTCACACTGAAGAAGTTGGTAGAAGTCTTCAATATTTTTTATCACTGCTTGAGCAGTTGGTGGGTAAATTTGAATAATTGAATTAATTAGTCTTCCTTATAAGCATATAGATAGATCACATACAGTATTGTACTTAAAGATCAATCTTTTTTTCTAAACAGTTTTATTAGCACTTCATCCACATGTCATACAATTCAATAATTCAATCATATCAGGAAGAGCTGTACAATTATCACTACAGTCAATTCTAGAATATTTTCTTCTTCCTTATACTCATTATTAATGTAATTATTTTTTCCTAGGTGGCAAAAATATACACCACAAAACATTCTCCAATTCCACAACTTCCACATGTATAATTCAGTGTCATTGATTATATTCTTCATGTTTTAGAACCATTATTGATGTCATTTTCCAAAGTATTCCACCACCATTAACATAAACTCAATGCCTCCAGGCAATAACTCTTTCTCTTTCACCATGGTGCCCATTGGTCAGGTTTGGTTTCTTTTTTCTTTTTCATGTAGTTTCCTTGATATTTTTGTATGATTCACATATCTTAAACTTCCATGGTTAAACTGCTTGTAAGAAGAGTTTATATTCATCATCACAATCAGTTCTAGTGCTCCCTACCCCTCCTTCATTCATTGTTTGCTTCCCAAATCCCCCCACACTCCCCACCCTCCCTCTCCCCTCCATATCCCCATAAGCCATTGCATCAGTTATTGTCTCTAAGATCCACTCCTTCTGTGCTGTACAAACTGGGAAACCCAACAGAAACAGTAGGAAACAAAACCAAAACAAAATGGCAAGAAGGAAATAATAATACAAAGAAAAAAATACAAATAAAGTGAAATAAAGATATTTAAAAGGCCAGAGAAGAAATTTCTTTCCGGGAACGGGTGAGAACTACTTAAGCCTAGAGCAAATTCAGGTTGGGTCGAGAGGGAGGGAAAATGACCACGTATCACGTTATATCATGGCTCAAGCCACCATAATTGAGTTTACAATAATCTCTGTCTGATAGTAAAGCTGGTCTGGTCCCTTGCCTGTGGCCAGAGGGGATCTGCCAGAGGCTTCATCTGACCAGATACTCTGCAGATGGGTTTTGGGTCCTCACTGTCCTCCACAGCCTTCTACACATCGGGTGTTCACAATTTAAGCCCTGATACTTTTCCCTTCATCGTATTTGGATTTTGTTATTGTCATCTTTGGATCACACAGGCTGGTGTGCTTCTTCTGTGTGGGCTTAGTTGACTCCTCACTTAGATGGCTACTTTTTTGAAGCCTTTAAGACCCCAGACACTATTCCAATTGATAGCCAGGCACCATCTGCTTTCTTCACCACACTTAGCTGTAGCACCCTTATCTTCAGTGATCATTTCATGAAGGTGAGTCTCAAGATCAATCTTGAAATGATCTTTTTATGTGAATATGATGCTAGTCCTCTTGAATTGATCATTCCTAGCATAGTAAAACATATGACTGTCTGATTCAAAATGGCCAATAACAGTTCATTTAGCTCACTAACACCTGTTGATCTTTTTCCCCCCCAACAGTTTATTGGCATGTAATTCACATATCATATAAGTCAATAGTTCAATCGCATCAAGAAGAGTTGTGCAATAATCACCACAATCATTTTTAAAACATTTTTTCATTCTTATACTCATCATTATTAGCTCCACATTTCCCCCAGCCTCCCCTGCCATACCCCCAAGGAATCCAGTTACTGTCTCTACAGATTTACCTCTCCTGGATTTTATATTCAGAAAACATTAATGGGGAAAAAAAGGGGGGGAAAACAGCTAACAACAATAACAAAGTAAAACAGATAAAAAAAACCCAAAGCAGAAAATACTAAAAAATAGAACAAATTTAAATGAATCATAAGGGGATCAATTGATAGGGTGATAAATTTTAACCCAACTGCATCTGCAACAATTCACTTTCCGATGTTTATTGATCTTTACTGTGTTCCATTTCATGTTTGATAACTTCCAGTTTTCTTAGATTCATATTTCATACATTCCATGTTCCGATTATTAATGGATGCTTACAGATGTTTCTTCTTGTGTCACCATCAGCAGGTGAAAGTCCTGAAGGTCCGCTCCATTCACATCATTACGGTTGACTCTCCTTTGATGAGGCGGCTCTTCCTCCAGTCACACATTGAGTGCCTGCGTCCTGAAGGCTCCTCTTCCAGCACTACATTAAGCAATGTTCTGCTGCTACTCGGAAGGTTGTCAGTGGCTAATCCTTCAGAAAGGGATTGCCTAATCCTTCTTCCTTGTCTGTTCTTAGTTTGGAAGCTCTGTGGATGACCTTGCTCGTATTTGCAATACCAGTGACGTAACTTCCAGAATCAGGGCAACATGTAAGCTACCACACTTTGACAAATGGACAGACAAGAGCACAGCATACAGGGGCACAACTATAAAAACAATTTAGTCATAAGGACTGAACCATAAAATCTGAATGCTAAGGACTATGGCCTCAAGTGACATCTAGGTCAATTAGTAAAATACAGATCAAAAAGATAATGCTCTACATCCTAGTCTGGTGAATAGGATCTTGGGTTTTAAAAACTTCAAGTGGCTGTCTAAGAAGCAACTATTAGTCTCTTCCTGCTTAGAACATAGGAGACTGAAGGAAAAAAAGAAAACTCAAAGAAACAATTAGTGAATTGTGTCTTAAGTGACAGCTTCCTTTAACCTGAGACCAGAATAAGTAGATGGTTCCTGACTATCACTGTTGACCACTGTGGTAGTTATATAATCTGTTGTCAATTTGAGAGGATTAAGAGTGAAGGGGTAGAGTTTAGTCTGTCAATCAGGTAATAGCTTAATAACCTCATTTGGAGGTGCTAAGGAGATAAATAGCTCACTGGAGGCAGGACACATGCTCACTCCCTGTGAGATATTGCAGTTGACAAGACACATGGAACTACACTAGTGCCCTGAACTGGGGAGCCACGTGGAGACCCCTGCCAGTGCCGAGATGCTTAAGTCACTGGATCTATAAGACTTCCCACCCACTGGCCTGTGATCTTCCTGTATTCAGCTTCATTGCATGTGATTCGTGAGTCTGAAGAGGACTTTATAGGTTGCTATCAGACATATGGGCTAGTCTCAGACTTATGGGCTTGATCTGGACCGGACTGGGATGTTTTCTCAATATTCAATTGCTCTTGTTTATAAAGCTCTTTCTTATACACATATGAGTTTCCCTGGATTTGTTTCTCTAGTCATCCCGGACTAACACAACCATCATGACCAAACCACAAGAGAAGGCCCTGATTAGAATGGCTAAAATAAATAATAATAATAAAAGTTCAAAGCTTCCCACAAAAAGACCAGACTTATTGGTTGTAAACAGATCAGAGAAACCCCCAAGACTATTGCCCCCCCAAAATCTTCTAACTTGAAACTGAAGACATTCCCAGAGGGTACCTTCCAGTCAAATAATAGGTGGGACTATAAACACACAGCTTGACGAATGTGCTTCTCAGAACAATCAACTGTACAAGGGACTAACAGGGCAACACTGCCCCAAATCAAAGATGAGACGGTAAAGAGTAGCAGGGGAACCAGATGAAACAGAGAACCCCGGGAAGAAATAAAGAGAGTGCTGACATATTGCGGGAGCAGTGGCGTGGGGGGTGGGAATGGCAGCCAAGGTCATGGGACAATTTATATATGAATGACTGATTGGGAAAACTAATTTGCTATGTATATGTTCACATTTAGCACAAAAAATGTTTAAAATTATTTTTCTTGGGGAAGCATTTTGCACCTGTATGGGATAAGTAATCAGCTATTCCAACCAGTCATAGAAACTAACATGGAGCACAGTCGTAGTTTGTGTGATAAGGCATGGTGGCCCACATGTCGCCACATGCCTCAAAAACAGCTCCCTTGGAACCCTACCATGTCTTTCCTTAAGGAAGGGTCCAGACCTCGTCTGTCCTTGCCAGGGGTCCTCTAGGGGGCCTTTGGGAGATGATGACTAGTTTCCACTCCAAGTGACTGATCTTTTGTGACTGAAATCTGGGGCCCACTAACTCCTTTGCTCCAAGACCTCTCTGAGCGTCTGTTTCCTGAACTGTACAAGTTGACGATGAAACCTATGTTGGAAGACTGTTATAAACACAGCAGCCCTGGTGGTTTATGGGTTATTGTTGGGCTGATAACCACAAAGGCAGGAGTTCTAAATCACTAGGGGCTCCGAGGGTGAAAGAAGGCTTCTCCTAAAGATCTCGGCTGCAGAACCCACAAAGGCAGCTCTACTTGGCCTACAGGGCTGCTAGGAGTTGGAACTCACTTGATGGCGTGGAGTTTGAGGTGGGTTTTTTTGTTGGTTGGTTGGTTCGGTTGGTTTTAGTTCTAAGCATCTACACTGACATCTGAAAAGCTGGGCACAGCTCCTGCCCCACCCTGGGAAGGTGGCAGGTGGCAGGTGGGGAGGGATGTTATGAAGAGTGTCCTGCTCAGCAGAGCTGGCTGAGGGCTGGCGGGGAGCCAAGCCCAGGCCACTGCCTTCTCATTCTGCTGGTCAAGTGTGCTCACTGTGTGCACTCCCCTCTGTTCCAGAGGAGGGCAGGGTCACTGAGCCACAACGCTTGACTGAGCCGTCACTGGCTGTAGCCCCCAGAGTGCTGAGTGTGAATGAGCAGGGAAAGCAGACGGAGATTTCCCCTGGGTGGTACAAATGGTTGACACGCTCAGTTGTTCCGGGAGAGGAGGCTGGTGCTCTAATTCTGGGAATATCAGTCACTGAAAACTGGAGCGCTGATACAGGGTTGTCTGGGTGGATGGCAATAGTAACAGTGACAGTCCCCACACCCTGGATAGGAGGGTAGCACTCACAGTTAATGCCAGCATCACTTCTCTGTAGTTCCGGTTCCCATTGAGCCGCTTCTTCAGGGCTCGGATAGCATCCTTGGGCCTGAAGAGAAGGACACATTAAGATCCCTACAAATTCAGTTATGTTCTTTCATGTAGCCTTTTGCCATGGTTCTTATCTATGTGCATATATTTATAGGTTTAGTATTAAGGTAGCAGTTGGACATTGGGCCTCCACTCAAGTACTCCCTCAATGCAAGAATCCTTTGTTCTGTTAAACTGGCATTCCATGATGCTCACCTTCCCAACATGATTGCTGAA